GTTTTTTCTCAAAATTAAGAATTTCACAAACACAGATGTGACTATAAAATAGCTTTTCAGAATCACAATATGGCGAGAATTAATAATAACAATGTGCAATGTTACTTAACTTATAAGAAAGTGGTAAGCGGGATAAAAAAGCATAACGCAGGATGGAGGACGGACAGAGAGTGCATGCACAGAATCATCATGTTGCATTATAGTATATTTGTATATATGGATGAAACCCCTCGTGCCAGTAATTCGTGGCGAGAACGTGACAACATGCAAAGCTTCCCCCGCTTCCCCCATCGTCATGCTTGATGTAAGGACTGTCCGCTGTGTCAGTGACTCAATACCAACGGCCTTGTTCCCTCATGGCCCTGACTGAGCCAGGCTAACGCGCAGGGACAGGTTGAGTCATGTGGCTGGAGACGCTCCGCTGGCGTGTTGCCTGTCTCTTCACCTCACCGCGATCTCGTGGATGCAGCCTGACAACAGGCTGCGTAAGCGCTGCGAGTGGGCCTTTCCTCAATATGACACTAGATGCCAGGGTTCAAGAACGCTGCAGCCGTTACGGTTTCTCAGGCCAGTTCTTTCTACCCGTTGGTGTCGAACTACATTTGCGGCTTTTGCAGTTAAGCAAGAGTGGAAGCAGCACTGGCTTTGTGGGTTTCCCAGATTCACTTTTTTGTCACGCTGCATTTTATCATCATCAAATCATCAGTTGATTCTTGGTATAGTTTTAAAAGGAAAATCTATTTATGATGTTTGATGTCATGTTCCAAGGATATTTATTGCTGTTTTTGGTTTCTCCTGTTTTCAGTGTTACCCCGTCTCTCTCTCTCTCTGTGTTAGTTATTTGCCTCCTGTTTTTCTTTGTGCATTTCTTTTCTCATGTCTCACTTTGGTTTTACTTCCAGGTTTTGTTCTGTTCCCTCCTTTATGAAAATCTGACTTGATTAGTTTTATCTGTGACTGATTGTTTCCACACCTTCTTCTCACCTGACCACCAATCACCCCTTTGTATGTGCACATAATCCTTTGGCTTCTGCAGTTTTATTTCTTTTGAGACTTTGTTAATTTAGCCTGCCTGAGTAGTCTGCTTTTAGCATTATTTTTCCAGAAGTCATATCACAGAGAGCTTGAAAGAAACTACAATATTTTTCCCTTGATTCATAACACCGCTAACAACAGTTTCCTTCTGCCTGGCAGCTCCGTATTCAACATCTTCTGTCCAGTATAGCCGCTACCTCTCCTCCGCACATGTCAACATCATCTCAGCCTTGCCTCTTTAACTTTGTCTCCAAACTGATCAACCTGAGCCGTCCCTTTGATACGTATTTATCTTCTCCATCCTTCATGCCTCCTGTCTTTTTATTAGTACCATTGCCTCCAAACCAAACATCATAACAGGTCTTACTACCGCCTTGTAAAGCTCGTCTCCACCCACTCCACCCTGCGCTGTCTTGCAGACTCTCTGTTGCTTTGGATGATTGACTTCAGGTACTTACACTCATCCACCTTCCCTACCTCATCTCTCGCAGCTTCACTGCTACACCCGTCTCTCTCTCATTCACACGCGTATTTTGTCTTGCTTCTAAAAATATAGATGAGCATATAACAGCATCATAACAATGACTGCCAAGGATGTTACTGAACCTGTTCTTCTGAAACCTGTCAGGTATTTAGTCCAAGAAATTCATTTAGTTTTTAAATTGCTTTCAGCTTTCAGTCCCAGTTTGGTGGGGGAAGCAAACTGCTTGGTTGGGTTTATGAAAAGATAACAGTTGGGGTTAAAATAAACCTTCTCAACAGCATTAAACATGTCCTAGATAGCCTGTCTGGTAGAAAACACTCAAGCATCTTTATTAGGCTTTTTTCAAAAATTAGTTTAGACATTCAATTAACCAGAGTTTTAGTCGAGTTTAGTGCAAAGCTGTTTCTCTTGTTTGCCTTTGCCCGAGCTGTTCTGCCTCCCCTTGCGGCAATATGCGAGGAGAATGATGAAAAACCACTCAGACAGGAGATTTCAAAATGTCGACACACTATGGTGCCATGGGCCAACTCTCTGAACACGATGGTGAGATTTAAAAGTCTTTACCCCCTGCCATTAGAAAATTATTTGCTCTGCTCCTGGAAAGGACCCACAACGCACAATAAAGCAGCAGGAAGTGCCTGGATCCATGCACTTTCACAAAGTGAATCAAAGCAACTTAAGACTTTCGCCCCGTAGCTTGACACTTTCAGAATTAAACCCAATTTATATTCACGCCACCCTTTTCCGCCTGGAGCATTCACACTCGCTGGTACAGATATAGTCTTCCCTCCACGCTCTACATCTGGCCTCTGTGTCGGAGAAAGGGACTGAGAAAAGACACACTTGGAAATCTCTGGTGAACAGCTGGCTGCCCAGTAAAGCATGTTACCCCCAACTGGATCATGACGAAGCCAAGTTTTTAAAAAATAAAGCATCCTAAAATAGACGTCGCTTCTTTGTCATGGCTCTGACTAATAGAGAACCTCAGCCTGACTAGGACACGGTCATTGTGTTTTATCGTATGAACAAAATGCAGGTGTGAGCGTGTGCATTGTGTACTTTGCACATCCGAATGTGTGGCCATGCAGCCTTTATTTCGCTGCCCCCGCGTGCTGCAGCCTGAGTCACTTTGCATTAATTCTGCAATGGCTTGACGAAAACAAAAAGCAGACCAGTACAGGCTTTGGATGGAGCCAAGTGAGCCATGCAGGCTTGTGGGACCTCATTGCCAGGATGATGTCACCACACCTGCCTGTGGGCCTGAATTATGTGAACAGCAGCAAGGACATCACGGCTGTCCAATAAGGTCATTATTTCTTCTCCTGAAGACCTGTCACCAACACGTTTCCTGTGGGATTTCTTTTACATGAGGAATGCCAATGTCAAAGTGTCCGGCCAAAGAAATGCGATTAAACGATGATCAATTTAAGTACAGTCAATGGGATTTATATTCATTACTACAGAGGCTTGGGCAGCAAGGATTAGTCACTCAGTTTTGTACAATCATACAAATTTTGATTGGTTAAAAAGAAATTCCTGTTTCTGGTATCACATATCTGATTTAATGTTTTGATTTGATACACATGTTGATGGTCTTCGCCACACACACACATATTTAATTCTTTATGTGTGTGTGGAAAAACCCAGCTCATGAGGAAGTTTTCAAGGCTCTCCCTGATTCTGTCATAATGATGTCATCAGAGTTATCCCCCTGTCAGGCTTACGAGAAGTGTAGGGACATTTTTGATGTCACAGCTGTTTGCTTTTACATTGTTATGTCACGCCACTCAGGAACGCCTATTCTCTTGTGTTGCTTGGGCCTAATTGCTAATGAGGTGTGAATAAAGGCATGCCTGAGGCTGATTTTAAGGAGACAACACCTTTTGCCTTTATGCTCTTTTGGATACCAACGTTTTACCTTTGCTTAGTGAATAATTTAAAATAAAAACCACTTTTGAACCTAAATATTTCACAAACTACTGACCTACTGAGATTTCGCCACACAGAAGTAAGAGGAAAATGGTTGGACTGGAGAAGGACTACAGAAACATAACAATATCAGGTCCCACTCCTGTCAGCTAAGAACAAAAAACTGAGGCTACAGTTTGCACAGACTTGCTAAAATTGGACAATAGAGGGTTGGAAAAATATTGTCAGTCAGAATTTGGTGTAAACATAAAAAAAATAATCCATTGTGGAGATCAGGGAAATTATTTTAATGCTATTGTCCAGATTAATAATATAATCTACAGTATTGATATTGCATTCAGATGTTTAAACAGTGTGTGTCTTTCAGAAAGACTAAAGCCACAGGCTGACAGGAAATTGCAGGTTTGCAGAGTGTGCCTTTTGCAGAACTGAAACCGAAAGCAGAGTCTAAGTGCAGGTTATTCTGAGGATTACATGTAAGGATGAGCCTCTGTTCTGGTGAAAGGTCAGAAGAGCAAAAGGTGAGATGAGAGAGCATTTGAGGACGACATATACACACACACACACTCAGTTAGAGAGAATCATTTATAAGTGAGAGGTTAGTTATGTTTGCTCGCAACTGCGAAAGAGGAACAGTTTCTTGTTGTCTCTGCAAAAAGAGGAACAGTTTCTTGCAGGATGAGTGTCTGGTGTTCTAGACGAGAAGTGGAAGTCAGAAGGGACAGGAAGCACCTGGCGTGGAGACGGAGACAATGTTCTTTTTATCTGTGTTAAAAGTCATTGTGGTTTTGATCTGACCTATGTCTGACGTTGAGGGGGCCTCATTAAATTCAAGCCCTGATGGTATAAAATATCTGTTTATGCTTTGATTAAGTCGGAGATCAGCCCTGTCTGCGAACGGAGCTGGTCTTCCCACGCGTGTATTTCATTAAAATCAATTGTTTGACCAAGCTCTTGGACCATGGTTGGTTGTACTCTCCTTCCTCAATGTTTGAACCCTAACACCATCCTGCCCTGTATAAGTACTTCAGGCTGCTGCAGGCGATGTTATACTGTGAACAGTATGTCTTAGCACACTTTGGGCCTCTTGAAGCCAACTGAGCATTGTTTCAGTGCCTCAGCCTAATTATTGCTGCTGACCATTTCACCAGTTTATGACCACAGGGTACCCACCATTGAATTGAACTGAATCTGCTGCTATCAGGATAGCGAGTCAAGTCACAAAACTTCAAACTGGTTTCTTATTCACTGTACTCAAGTGGTCTCCACAGTCTCCAGAGCTCCTTTGGGATGTGGTGGAACAGTAGATTCACATCACAGATGTACAGCTGACAAACCTGCAGCAACTGTCTGATGCCATCATGGACCAAAATTTCTGAAGAATGCTTCCAGCAGCTTGTTGAATCTATGCTACAAAGAATTTAAGGCAGTTCTGAAAGCAAGAGGGGGTCAAATCTAGTACTAGCAAGGCGTACCTAACAAAGTGACCAGTGAGTGTCTATTATTGGGGCCTAATTTAAAACATAATGAAGCAATGAAAACACAGTGACAGACAGCATCTGATACCAGCTACTTTAAAACAGAGGTGCTGGATCGTTTTTATTTAACTTAAGCATATTAGATTACAAATGTATTATTTTAGTTGAAAGGTGCAAAGAAAAAAAAATCCCACACTCCGTATTTACAGAGGAGAACTTCAAGTGTAAGAAAATACAGTGATAAATAGCAAATCTGTTACTGTTCCCATTAAAAATGGATTGTCAAATACATTCTCTCATAAATCTTCATATCACAATCTTTACATATTCTGCGTCACATTATTCCGATTTAACCATTTATTTCTCTGACATGTATAATAGTTTAAAACATACCCAGCACTGGGGACAGAAGTAGAGAGAGGTGGCGTCCAATTAATATGCTTGCTTTAGGGACATTCACCATTGTTACTTGTTCCTTTGCTCTCTTAATGTCTCTACAGATTAAAAAGTAAAACAGTAAAACATTTCAAAAACTGGATAATCTAATATGGTGTAAAAGGTGTAACAAAATAAAATCTCTTAGTTTTCAATAATCTTTCTGGACTTCTTGTTTTTTTTTTAAGGTTAGTTATGTTTAGCATGCGCTGCTACACAAAAATGAAGATTTACCAGCAATTTAAGCTCCGCTCTTCCGTCACAGCTGAGAAAATCACTCTCGTAAATGAGCAAAGATGTAGGAGCTGTACAGCAAGTGAGGCTTGACTGTGTCGCCTTCATATAATTGTTTCTCTCTGAGTGAAACCAACACAAATTGCACAGAGAAGCCTTTCACACTAAACCACATTTGCCAGTGCAAGTTTTGTCAGTAATGTAAGTCCGTGTTAACTGTCAGCAGAGCACGCCATACGGCTGCGCTGTAGTGGTAGGTGCTGTGAAACTAATTTCACAGTAAATTGCATCGATACCGCCGACCTGCTTTTTGCCCGTTTCTATTCACACCCTCATATTTGACCACTTCTTGGACTAAAAACCTCCCGCCCTCACTCATCTTTCTTTCCTCTGTTAGGACAAAAGTATCTTTGCAGCATAGAGCAGCAGCCCACCCAAACCTGCAGTGGCAACAATGGCAATGACCCTGACTAGGAGGAAGTCCATAGAGTCCTCTAGCTTTGTGTGGAGCCGCAGGACCTGCCGGTGGGTGTCCTCCCGGCCGCCTGAATTCTCAATAACATGATTGGCCAAGCCACGCTTTTCATTGAGCGGCATTTGCGCGGCCACACGCTGCTCAGCCTGCTCCTGGGTCAGGCCGTCCCTCTGCATCAAGCGCGAAAGCTGAGTGGCAGGGTCACTGAAAGGGAACAGACGATGGAGGTTATTTATGGTGCATTCATTGTGCCTTGTTAAAAAAGGTCCACTGGCAGTGAATCACATCAACAGGAAGCAGAAAAAGCTGGTTTTAAAGGCCACTTACTGTCAAAAACAAACAAAAATGTTTAACGACTTCAAAAATTAATACTGTTAACAGCCCCAAAACGAGACTCTAAGGTAACAGGAAAAAACGAGCAGTGTGCTTACCAGTAAACTACAACAGTGTGGTTCAGAAACCGAGTGAGCCGTCTGGTTTCAAAGAGAAGCGGCACATCCAGAACCACGTAGCGGTACCCTAGTGAGAGAGAAAGAAGTCAACATTACAGACTGTATGTAAAAGATGGACATAGCACTCTTAATACTAAGCTACTGTGTAGAAGGCAACAGTAGCTATTGAGTGTTTAACCTCTCCATATTTTTCCCATAGTATAGTTTTATCTTTGTTTTTAAAATCGGCCACTCTGCTGCCAGTACACTTAACCTTGTGTTAATCTGGCTCCATGTGACAACAGTGTTTACAACTATGACCCTTCAAGTAACAATAAGAGACAAAGAAAAGAACAAAAACCATGAGAGTATTGCTATAAACACAAAGTTTTATGGGTGCAAACAGCAACGTTAAGTAAAGGCGCCAACTTGTTTCTTTCTTGTTTTTTATTACGAGCCTGACAAAAGTAAGAGTGAATTTCTTATGTTAGATAAATGCCTGCAGTGCAAGACATATGGACATGTGTTCATAAGTTCATGCATTTTAATCATAACCTCCATGTGCCCCAGTCTGCACAACATATAGGTGTGATGGCACTGCTTTAAGATCATATAACAAGTGATGTTTGTGAAGTTTATTTAAAGGCATGTGTGATGCCTTGAGACGCTAATAACTGAATGCACCGAGAGAGTGACATGGGTGTCTTACTGAATTCATTTTAATCATAATGTTCAAACATCTCATGCATTTGACTTGCAAATAGCAGAAAGTTTGGTCTCGCCTCTTGCGCCACCTACACTGCAAAACAGCCTTGGCTCAAATACAGCAGATAATCGTCCCTTTTTCCTTTTGTGCCAAACACGATTCCTCCCTCACCTCTGAGAAAGTAGAAGAGGATCTCTTTGAGCATTGCTTTATGAATCTCTGGGTGGGTGATGGAGTTTAGCAGCTTCCTCTTCTCCTCGCTGGCGAAGATGATTTGGCCCAGCTTCTGCCTGTCGATGTCGCCGTTCTCGAGCAGGATCCCTGGCCCAAAGTGGTGCACGATGCAGGAATAGGCACGTGTGCGCTGCTCAACAACTGCGGACAACAAAAGGAAGCTTGAATGAGTTAAACAATGTAACAGGTTCAAAATTAAAGTAAATTTATTTATGACCAGTAATCCAGCATAAAAAAATAGAGGCTGAGATGATATTCGGAACAGACTTGTCACCGAGTGTAATGGAATAATTTGCCTAATGCCTTATATTTCCCCTACATGCAGCTGTGCACTCTTCACCTAGTTCTGTGACCTTTCTATCTTCGCTGTCTAACTAAAACATCATCCCTGCAGTCAGCAGAGACATCCTTCATGATTCATGCTCTCTCTGCAAGCGCTCGTCCTAATAAGCCGGGGTTATCTGAGAGAGTGCCGCCTGAAGATGGCTTCAGCTCGATGACACCCCTGACCAGTATTTCATGTTGAATTTGTGTTCGCCGTGTCAAGAGTTTGCAGGGGAGAGATAGCCACCTACCTTTCCTGGCCACGACATCGGCATCAATAATGGGGCATCCAAGCTCCCGCAGCATTGAAGACACTGTGCTTTTCCCAGAGGCAATGCCTCCTGTCAGTCCCACCAGGTACATCTTTAAGCAAACAAACACAAAAATGCATGAAGGCAAAGTAAGTAAAGTAGTTACACTAGCGATGCACTGATATGGCCCCGTTTACAGCTGTGGGCCTATCAGAGAATAAGATGACATTTACTAATAGCAGTGGACGATGTTTATCTGCCATGTCACATTAACGTTGCACTGACTTAATGTTCAAAGATAGTCTGATTAAGGCTTTAAAAAGCTACTTATTACAAACAGCACGAACTGGAGAATAAACGCAAAGAATAAATAAAATAAATGAATAAATAAACATTGGTATTTACCCAGAGTCCCAAAATAACAAATTTACGGTCATCGTTTTTATGGCTTATGGAATAAAAGGGCCAGTTTGGGTATAACACAATTTCTGACACAGTAAGAAATTCTAGAAAGTCCATAAATGTTATGAGTAAACAAATAGTACTGTGCCACCCCTCACTTCTATTTTTTTTAGTAAAATGAAAGGTTTTTAGGCAATCTTTCTTCTAACTTCTTTAAGTAGTCTCCAGGGATAGTTCTCCAGGCCTCTTGAAGGACATTCAAAGCTCTACTTTACATGTGGGCTTTGTTTTGCTCCGTTTTCTATGAAAATGATCCTACACTGTTTCGATCATGTTGAAGGGGCTCCGGGGAGCCCAATCCATGACTGATACTGTTCCTACTCTTGTGTGTTTTTTCTATCCAGTTATGCTTTCACTGTATTGACGGTGTGTTTGTGATCATTCTTCATGTTGAAAAATGAAGCCAAGCTAAACGAGAGGTGACTTTTGCACTCTACAGTAACTTTTACATGTTAATAAACATAAAAATAGTTATTACAATCTTTATAACCAAATAACAGATATTTAATTACTGAAATATCTTTACCTCCTCATTTTAAAGGTTTTGAAGTTTCACAACACGCCCCCTGCTGTGGAATTAGATGAACTACACTCTCCATATATTACCTGGCTATGCAAAGTCAAACTGGTTTGACTGGTTCGAAAGTCAGCTTTGAGGTTATTCTCTATTAAACACCGGTCAAAAATAAAACTTTTAAAGAAACGACTCGCTCACGATTTAACACGGCAGAGAGCGGCTTCTTGTTAGTATCAGGTTGGTTTGACACAGCGATTAAAACAAACTCATGTCAGGGGAATTTTAGCTTTACCTTGTCAGAGAGAGAGAGTGTCCTTAAACCGGCTGGATATACAGCGGGAGTCCGGGCAAAGCAGAAGCACTAGAGAGGGGGGGGGCTGTTGCGTTAAACAACAACAACAACCAGGGCTGCTAACAGGCTAACACAGGTGTTAAATCAGGTCAGAAGGAGCTCAAACAACAACGACGCCATTTTTACCGGGTCCAGCTCAACACGAAAGCCAACAAATGAACTGGAGACAGCGGTGCTGCTGGAAACTGCCCTCCTTTACAGTTCACCTGTATTCTACTCACTGCTAACAACCTAGCTGCTAAGCCTGACAGGCGCTACCTCTTAATTAACCCGACATCTCATATTTCTATTAGCGTTGGTTCCGCCTCGCTTTCGTTCCCCGTCAAGCAAAACTCAGCGAGTCCATCTTTCTCCAAAATGTGTTTATTTTAAAGCAAAACACGCACCAGCATGAGTCAAAGATATCCGTGCGCTGTTTGTAGTAAATAAAAGGAAAATTAAACATTTATGGTTGAAAATTACTACAAAATACATCTTGCAAGTCCTTTCTTAAGTTTAAAGAAAATTAATCTTCTTTTGAATCCATATTTTGTTTTGGCGTCTCTGAAGAAATGTTTGAATGTTTAGATCTTTTTCCCCTGTGGATCATTTCGCCTCCATTCTCCCCTTCTTCGCGCTCCAGTCTGCCTCTTTTCACGAAATGATTTATCCTCGACTCGAGGCTCTCGCAGCACGGGCGCTCCAGGAGAGGCCGGTAATTTCTCTGCCTGCTGCCTTCTACCAGCCAGCAGTGGTTGGAGGACACAGCTCCTGTGGATGAAGAGCAGTGAGATAGTTTGTACAATGTTTTTTCACAGCAGGCATTTTGACTCATGTCAAAGCAGATAACTGGCTGGCCCAACTAGGTGCATTCCTAGATCCTAAAAAAAAAAATACTCTGATATCCTAGAAATACAGGTACATCCACTTCATTAGGTACAACTGGTTGTTAGCGCAAATATCTAATCGGCTAATCACAATGGAGCAAATCATTATATTTAGACAGATTCAAGACGCCCTGACATTTAAACAGAGCATCAGAAGCAGGAACACTGTAGTTGGTGGCAGATGAGCTGGACTGAGTTTTTAAGAAACAATTACTTTACTGGGATTTTCCAGTAGAAGTAGTCAAACCTTGAAGCAGATGGGCTACAGCAGCAGAAGCCCACACCAAGTGCCACTCCTCTCAGATAAGAACAGGAAACTGAGGGTACATTTTACATGGTGTCACTAAAACTGTACAATAGAAGATTAGATTAATGTTGTCTGATCTGATGGGTCTCGATTTCTGCTGCAACATTTGGATGTTTGGATAAGAATTTGGTGTAAACACATAAAAGCATGGATCCATCCTGCCTTCCATCAATGGTTCACACCAGTGACAGTGTCATAGTGTGGAGTATCTTTTCTAGGCACACTTTGGGACCCTTATTTAAACTCCACAGTCTTCCATGGTCACTCATCTTCTTCTGATGGTTACTTCCAGCAGGATAACACAAGAATTATGACAGTTGTGAAGGTAAAAGGAACAACATGTACCTAATAAAGTGGCCTGTAAGCTCATATCCACACACAAAACAACCGAAATGAGACGCAGAAATCATGTAAAACAAACACATGTAGACACAAAATATCCCAAACGTGACTCGATATTATCATTGTGACACTAAACAATCAGAACTGTATAAAACAGCAAAATTTAGGCAAAAAAAGAGAATAGAAATATGTACACAAATGACAAAATTTAAAAAATACAGTAAATAACCACAAAACAACTAAAATTATGCAAAACATAACTTGAGAGAAACTATTTAAATGCCTTAAAAATCTTCACTTCTCTTATCCAGCTTCTCACCTCGGTCTTCCAAGCCCTGGATCATCCCCTGCAGGACGTGGGCCTTCACCGTGCTCTGGGTCCAGTGATGCTGCAGTGCAGCCAGGACAAAGCCCCCCTCTTCACTCTCCTGCGTCCAGCTCAGGCCTTCAAAGTGGCAGTTGTACAGCACCAAAGGGTAGTCTACTGCCATGCTGAAGATGACACAGATTCATATGATAAATATATTATTTTTATTTGAATATTTTAACCACTTCTACAGCAGTCAGTTCACCTGTACTGGGGCTTCCTGGGGTTATTCTCCACATCCAGGAGCTGATTGATTATATCCGCGGCTTCCAGCTTCTGTCCAATCAACAGAAGTACAGCCATCATGCACCGTACCTGCAGCACATAAAAGGAAATAACCAAAAAATCACTACATACCACCAAACCATTCAACCTTAAACTCCATGAGATGCTGCATCTGACATCCTCTGATCCGGTTTCTCTAAATCTAAACTTTCACATTAAAAAATGTTTGCAAGAGATGAAGGGTAAAGGGAAAGCAGCGTAGAGTAACTCTCTCCTGGTACCTGGTGGTAAAGGAAGGCTAATCCTTTGATCTCAAATATGAAGAGGTCATACTGGTCTGTGCTGGAGGCATGCCGAGGCTGCGCAGGCTTGACTGTGGCTGATAAGATGGTCCTCTCGAACTGCAGGACACCGTTGCCCACGTCCATTTTACACAGGTTCCTGAAGTCATGAGTCCCCTCATATCTGCCGGAAGCAAGGAGGTTGTCAAATAAGGGCTAAGTTTTAAAGGTGTGTTTACCTTTTATGTGTTCTCCACCCACCTTTTAGCAGCTTCCGCCATCAGCACCACATCCAGAGATCCTCGGGGGAAGTAGTAGCGGTACGTGCGGGACTGACAGTTGAAGCGTGCGCTGAAACCCTCCACTACTGGTGCCCAGTCCAAGACCCTGATGTCCTGCGGCAGGACTCTGTTCAGCATCTTCACATATGGAAGCTCAGAGGTGGCAGAAGAAGCGGCTTTGGTACCGACGTCAACATTTTCAGGCAGTGTGATGCCCAAACCGGCACAAAACTGCGTGGAGCGCAAGTCGATGGTTATGACCTGCGGGGGAAAAAATTAACCACATGAAAAACTATTAATAGTATTAAGGTACAGAGTCTTTTCAGGTTAAAATGGAGGTCGATGATAAGCTGTGGTAACTCATAAAGGGGGCATCCGACAGAAGGATTATGTGAGTAAAAAATATGTATCTCTGCTAACTCACTTGGGAAAAAGCACTGACTCCTTTATCAGTGCGCCCACAGCGGTGGTAATTGGAAGCCTGGCGGTCCTGGATCAGCCGAGTCTTTAGCAGGGCTTCAAAGAGTCTGGCCTCCACAGTGTTGTCCGTGTTCTCCTGGACTGCAAACCCCTGATAGGCCCACCCCAGGTAAGCCAGCCGCAGAGCCACATGGCGCCGGGGGTGTGCAGAGAAGTCAAAAGGACGATCTTTTCCTGCTTTCTTTCTCTCCTTTTTGCTGCTGCCAGTGTTCCCATCAGATTTACAGTCTTCATTAAGGGATGGACTGGATGACATTTCAACATCTCCAGTTTCACTGCTCTCTTTCAGCTCGGACCTGAGCTTCTCCAGCTCAGCCTCCAGCTCCTTTATCCGCTGGATTAAAACATCTGACATGCTGCTTGGAAGAAAGAACAAAGGAAAGAACATTTATTTAAGAATTTACTTAAATAACTCTACAAATAATCAGCCCAGCTTATATTCAATGAAGCCTACGTAATCATCTCCTCTTAGTTTAATTCATGTCAAAGTTTCTTTAAGGGTTTTTTTTGGTCAACTGTACTACAACTGGGATTATTTTTATAAAGCGAACTGAACGCTACACAGCCTGCTAGCTAGTGAACGAAGTTAGATACGAGGGATTTAGTGGGATTAACGAGGCCGTAAATTACATTACAGTTAATCTGTGTTTTTACCTGTATTTTCAGCCTCAATGTTTTCGATTATTCTGCTCCTCTGTTAGTTTTGCTTCTGGCTGTCGGGATCACGCATGCTACTCTCCCCGCTGATAAATTTATCGGGAGGCGGACGAATTTTGCCAACGGACACATTTCCCCCCCTTCACGGGATTTCTGGGAAATGTAGTTTAGTTGCTTAAATTGTCGTCAGCCGATGACTGCCATACTTAACAGTTATTTTTATACTCCCCATGAGCGAACATACCATATATATGGGTAAAAAAAACAGGCCAGAGTTTATTTCTAAAAGCTTGTCTTACACTATTAACCGCCTGTATCTATTACAGAAAACTATTATATGTATTCAAGGTAATGGATTTTTACTTTTTCCATCCCTAGCCTTTTCTTAGCCTAAAGTGCCATGTCCTCAATCATCTTTGTTCAGCTTACGTTTAAGTTGTAAAAATGAAAATAATTTGACATTTTTCATTACTGTGGCATGGCTTTCTTTATATTATTACATACCAAATTTTGTTTTTGCTATTATTACATTTATAATGTTTAAGTCTTTGAAGTAGGTTGTGGCACTGAATTGCCTGTACCCAAACCTACTCTAAATAGGGCCCCGTTAGTCCTCGAGTCACCTGATATACAGCAGATTTTATTTGTTTGTTTGTTTTGAAATTCAATTAATCTCGAATTTTTATGAGTATAGAGCCAAATCACAACAACAGTCACCTTAAGGTGGTTTATAATTTAAGGTGAAGACCCTTAAATAATAAAGAAAAGACCCCAAACAATCAGCAAAGGCTATGATGACCCCCTATGAACAATTACTTGGTGACAGTGGGAAGGAAAAACTCAGTTTTAACAAGATCAAGGCTCAGGGAGGGACAGCTATCTGCCTGCTAAATGGTTGAGTGTTTGAGGATGACAGGACAACCATTCGAGCTATTATAGTTTTGTATATTTTTTAATAGATTGTGTTAGTTTTAGTCTTTTTAATTAAAAGTGTATGGATCACACATGCCAGGTACGATTTAGTAAAATCAGTACAGGTATTACAATAAAAACACATAACTTTTTGAAAGCATTTGAATCAAATTCTTGTAGACATCCGCACCTTGGAAATCATCTACCAGACTTGTATTAGCCTTTTTCACCCCATGTTTCAGATGAAAGATGACACAGTACTTTAATTCACAGTGACTGAGAAGCTCCTACAAAGGAACCATGCGAAATCTTCTATTTTCCTGTCCAATGCACCTTCCTTGTGATTCCTGGTTTTTTGTTTGTTTGTTTTTTGTCAGGTCAGGAGAACAGGAGTTCAAACACCAGAGGGGCGGGCATATGGCAGTTATGCCTATATTTTGTAAAGGGATCCACAGCACCGACACTTGTCTTTAGACATCACAAAGAGGTGAAAAAACACACAAAAAAAACCCCTGAAACTGAGCTGAAAGTGTGTTTCTTTCCTCCAGCTGTTTGTGAGAGTCTTTTCATTTATTTTGTATAGCAGTAGCTTCACAGGGTAAGTGGCACAGCAGTGCTGTCAGGCACAACTGTTAATTATTCCAGATGCAGAGACAGAATTGGTCGAGCTCTTGCATTAAATCACAGTCTGCTCTTTTCTACATGTCCGATTACACAATAAATGGCATGTAATCACAGTTTGGTGTTTATCTGCTGTGTCGCAAATAGTTTTTCAGGATGGCTACCAAACTAATCTGCCCTCTCTGCTCATTAAAGGGCCAATTCACCCAAAAACAAAACAAGCAAATAAAGACTGTCCATCCATAGAACTGGATCCAAAGTTTGGAAACGCTGATTCAGCTGTGAGTCATGGCCCTGGGTCAGTCGACCTTGTGTTTTGAATTCATGGTCTCTCATTTATTATTTATTATGCGATCCCAACATTGCGTAATATTTATATTATTTCTGGTAGTAATCCTCGTAGTGTGTTTAGTCTTGTTCTCTATTCTAAATTCCTTTAGAGTTTATGTGTCTCTTATTTTTTTCTTCCTCCTGTGTCAAGTTTCTTGTGAAGTTCATTTATATGTCTGTGTCCACCCTGTGTAATTATCACTTCCTATTTTACTTACTTACTAGGTGTGTTCTGTTTGCTTTTCTTTTAATTTTGCATCCTTGTCTTGTCGACTGTGATTCGGTTCACCGTGTTTTGTTCTCACCAACTGTCTCCACTGACCCGAATCACTATCCTGTGTATATACTGTCTCAGTCTCCCTTCGTCAGAGTGTCAGTCATCTTCCTCTCTTGTCTCCCAGCTCCTGTATGCCCTAGCCCTAATTCCCAGTTTAGATTCCGGTAAGTTGAAGCTTTCAGTTTTCCTTTTGTATTTTATGCTTCATTTTGTATTTTGGTTCTTAGCCTGAATAAATGTTTCACTATTAGCTCACCACCATCTGCCTCTATGTTTTCTCCTCACAAACGTCGCAATTTATGACAAACTAGCGCACTTAATTCTCGTTTTTTTTTTAAAGACATTAGACATATAGCCTGTAAAATCATTCAACCCTGGAAATGAACAGTCAAAAATATAACTAAAAGCCTAAAATGAAAGAATTCATGCCCATGATGAGTGTATGTAACCTTCTAATCACAACACACGTTTTTAATTGTTAAAAGCTAATTAAACAACACCACAAAACCCCAATGCGATCACATGTTTAATAATTATGTGCATAGTAAGCATGAATGTTAATTTAAAATAGATTTTTTCACCACTATAGCAGATCAATTTCTCTTTGTTAGATACCAGCTGCAATTATAGCAAGTATGTAGATAAGATTTTTTTCTAGACACAGTCGAGCATCCAGAGATAATAGAGCAGTGATGATGCATTAGCTGATGTTTTCGTAGTTCTTTCGCTTAATGTCCAGACACAAGCACACCCCGACTAATACTCCAAAAACCTGCAACAGGGAAAAGGTCAGAAGTTACTGGCAGCAAATGAACTCAATGGCACACCCAAGAGGTTATTTTCTTGTTCTGGAAAAAAGTAATTTTTTCTTCATTTCATCACCTGAGGCAGTCAGGATGAGACAGGCTTTATTATCATTCAAGTTATCCTCTGCTATTTAAATATTCTTTACAATGTCTGCTACTGCTGGAAACTAAATTACTAAATTAATCCAGTATACATGTTTTTATTTTTATGTAGAGACATTTGGGGTATCTTTAGATGTTTAACATTTCTGATTTTTCTTTGTCTTTTTTCCACCTAAAACAGATTAAAATTAACCTTTTGGGCTCACACTGGCTCCTGCACAGTTAATCAGTAGGTAAGTGTACTGGATTGGCATTTAAAATGATCATTTCTTACAGTAATATGACATTTACTCTTGCAATGTGAGCATTTTGCTTCACAGTTAAATGTGAGCAAGGGGAAATTGCAGAAGCTTACCTCCGTGACTCCAAGAGCAATGCAGACAGCGCCGACCCACACCAGATTTTTCAACAGGAAGACACTGATTGCCCAGAGGCAGCCCTGAGGAGGATCGCACGGTCATAAAATACAGTATTTGTTTGCAGAAAATAGATGAAAATTGCTTGGAATGATTTCCTGTCAGACCTTTTTATGTGCCTTCTCCTTGTCCTGTCCACAGCCCTCACTCTTCACCACGCAGCAGGAATCTGGCACGGCGTCGTGCTTTTCCCAGCCCGCGCTCTGGGACCAGTCGGCATAGCTGTCCGCACCACAACACTTGAACTGTAATGATAACGACACTGTGATAGTGAAGCACCAAAGCTGTATCAATCACTGGTTGTGACTATTTGTGGTTCACGATAAATATTCTTCAAGTGTTGCTTTGTAGAAAGTCAGTTTGTCTACTTAACTACTAATTTTCACACAGATGCTGAAGGCGTGTTATTTACACTTACTAGCCACTTTATTAGGTACACCTTGCTAGCATTAGGTTGGGCCTCCTTTTACCTTCAGAGTTGCCTTAATTCTTCATGGTACAGATTCATGCTGAGATGTAAGCCTTCAAACTTAAACTCCCTAAGTAATTCCAGCATTTTTCTCATTGCTGGTCTTTGTTAATTACCCTCTCACTCTTTGCAGATTGTCTTCACACTCTTATATTAAAGTTAGTCATCTTAATTTGACTGTAAACAAGAGCACTCAGATAGAGCAACTCCCCCCGAGTAGCAGGGGCAATACTAAACCTTTGATGTTTTATGCTTTTATTACAACATGCTGATGTCAGCCTGCTTTTATAACAACCATATAATATCCATAAAAAAATTGTGAGTAATATAAAATTTTTACTGATTTTCACATTTGGCGTGACCTCGGCCTTGACCTTTATCTATTTTTCACCTAAATTAAATCAGCTTTTGCTGTTAATGGCATCCAGCAATGCACAAAATCTGAGCGTGTCGTGTTGAAAACTGTGGACATTAGAAGGTGGGTACACCGTGGGTCACAATGACATGGAGATGTTCAGCAATGATACTCATTTGGTACTAAGAGGGTGAAGAAAGTATCTTCTGCTGCATTAAACCACCAAGAGCTTGAATCATTGATACAATGCAGGATGGAGCCACGCTTTCATGTTTACACCAGATTCTGACCTTACCATCTGAATGTTGCAGCAGAAATTTAAAGCAGGCATCATTTTCCCATCAAGAGAGGAAATGAAGAGTCCCTATAAGGGGTTTTTGCACTTCCTCCAATCCATCAGGTGTTTCTCAAAAATACAGAACATTACAGTAGGCTCTGCGTGTCACCTTTTCCTGAATTTTGTCAATTGCATGTCTCCTCTCAGGGCTGTAGTCGTTAATCACTTCCTGTGCTTTGGCGTTGACACCATTAGCCATATGCAGAAGGGCAGCCTACAGAGAAAATCAGATAAAATAACCAGAACAGACACTAGAACTTAGATATATTTTAAGTAATGCTACTGATATTATGACTGGAGAACCACTGCTAATGGCAAAATTTGACCTTGATCTCAAGTAGTTCCTTTCTGGTGCGATTTTAATGTCTTACCCTACTGCGAAATATGTAAAAGGCGGCTCCTGTGAGGACCTCCAAGAGGATGATCACTATCAGGATGCAGATGAACTATAGATAAAGAAAGTGAACGCTGTTAGAGATCTCCAGAACATCTCCAGTGCTCATTAAAAAAAGCTTTTGGAAAGAATCGCCACTTAATCACATTTAATTTCATTACAGTACTTACACAAGCAACCATAGATGAACTATTAAAGAATGCACCAATGTGGCCCAAGAGGGATACGAAGGCTATGATGACCCCCACTGCAATGAGGACTATAGCAATTTTAGACAAGTTGCTCCCTGTGAAGGTGCCGATATCTGAATACGTCGAGTACTGCAGCACTCCTATAGTGATGAGGGCAACCCCAGACAGCTGAAAAAGAAGTTTAACAGCAGGACAGCAATGTAGTGCTTTACATGGAAACACTAAATTAAAAGAGGGTGGTTTTGTTCATTCCTGTCAATACGACCTCATTTCAATATAAACTTACTGTCCCTATGTTAAAAAGTAAAAGCAATTTTGAGACTCCAGCAAATGAAGCAAACTTGGAACAGTGGTGAACTTTCCCAGGAGTGGCCATCCTACCAAGATTACTCCAAGAGTTCATCGACGACTCATCCAGGAGGTCACAAAAGACCCCAGAACAACATTTAAAGACCTGTAGGCTTCACTTATATTAGCTGAGCTCAAGGTTCACGATTCAGTAATAACAAAGAGACTGGGTAAAAATGGCATTCATGGAAGAAAACCACAGCTGACCACAGAGAACAGAAGAAGCACAAAGGCTCGTCTAACATTTGGCAGAAAATCTGGGTAAATATTCGGTGGATGGAAAAGACATAAGCTAAACTTTCTGGAAGGTTTGAGTCCCATTACATCTGACATAAAAATAACACAACATTTTATTTAAAAAAAAACATCACACAAGCAGTCAAACATGGTGGTGGTCTGTGATGGTCTGGGGCTTTGTTGCTACTTCAGGACCTGGACGAGAAAATCCTGAAGGAGAATTTCTGGCCATCAGTTTGTGCCCTGAAGCTCAAGAGGACTTGTGTTAGTATATGTTAGTATATGTTATTTTGTCCTTTATAATCATACGACCATTGCCTGTTATTGGATTTTTGCCCTTTGACAGCTTTGTAATTGGATTGTGTGCTCTCACTGACTGCCTACCAGTGTGTGACATCCTCATCTTCAGCGTAACACGGCGTTATTTGCATTTTAAAATTTGAATGTGTGTATTGCTGGCACAGAAAGTTATTAACCTTAATAATAGATCTCAAAAGTATGACATTTTTCTTGAAATATTTTTAAAATAGATATATTTCATAAAGGTTACTCTGTGTGGGTTACACGTCATGCACCAGTTAGTATTTAGAGCATAAAATTTCTGGAGCGTGCACAGGACACCGTGCAGGTTTATCTGGCGATGATACTGATTAGCTTCTAAATTTGTTAAAGTTCCCTTTGCTCAGCTCAGCTGCTACAACCCCACAAAACGGCTTAATATGAGTGTGTTTTGGAAATTTGGAAGGGCAAATCAAGTCTCTTGTTGCATGTGTATCTTCCCTTGGATAATCCGGCGTGCAGTCAAAGTTTCCTGGACTTCTAAAAAGATATGAGTGATTCAATTTTGGCTTTATTCTTTCGTTACCTCTACTACTCCTGCTCTTTATTGATTCTAATCTTTCCATGATATCACCAATCAGTGCTGTCAATCATCACTTCTCATCAAAATTAGATAGAAAAGATTTGCTCTATTACTCACCAAGAAGAGCGTGTTGAAGAAAATGAAACAACACTTGATGCCGAAGACACTGCACATTTTGAGGTGGTCTGAGCAAATAATAAATAAGTGAATCCAGAAGGTTGCAGACTTCCCTCAATCCAAATACGGGTCAAGTCAGGGTGAATAGAGTGCAATTCAGTGGCGAGTGTGTCATATGACCCTATGGAAATGAACCGGCAGCCCGATAGCTTTCAAGTTGATGTAGGTATCTTTTGAATGCATCAAGCCCGTCTTTGCATAGAGGCGTCACACATCAGTGAATACAAACTGCGCCGTAATATACGGTCATTTAAATACTGGGAATTTCACTCGACAAACAATCTATAAATCTAAAAGGTCGCCCCCAAATATGAAGATGTTTTGTCTTTTTAAACATTTATGTGGCAGATGTTTGCAGATGTTCTGCCTCTCTTTGTAGTTGTTTTGGGACCTTCAGGTGAAGTGCAGGATCATCTGTAACCAGTCTTCAGAGCTCTTTGATCTCTGTAGATTATTTAGATTTTATTGTGACTATTTTGTCTCATTTTGATCATTTTCTGTATGCGGTGTGTTTTGTAGTTCACAATCATAATCCATACATATCCCCTGCAATGTAGACACTGCAGTGTGAATATTATTGAAGCAGATCCATTTTCATGACTAGTATGTTTAAAATAACATGCCATAACACTAAACACTAAACAAAAAGGTGCAATTTAAGTGTTTGTTTCTGTATTCTTATTAAAATCCCAATTAAAAGAAACAAACTTTTACCACAACAATTTTTCTAAATGCTGGAATATTTTTATTCAGTATTATTCTTTTAATTTTGTTAAAGTCCAGATACAGATAAATAAAATCTGCATTTTTGTCTCAAGAAATATATATATAAGCAACTGTGATTATCTGATCTTGCTTCTTCAGGGCTCCTTCCTTCTGTTTGCGGACCAAGCTCTTTCTCACAGCTTCCCCACCAACACGTGGATCACAGGCCGCCTGGCTCGATTCACAGTGACCTCGAAATGAGAGGCAGAGATGCTTGTTGCACACTGCCAGAGTTCTCTTTGTTTCTCACATCTTTTTGTATTCTTTTCCTTCTTCCTTCCTCTTTCGTTCTTCTTTGATGTTTGCTCTTTTCCCTCTCCTGCTTTCTCAGAGCTCAGGTCAGACTGCCTCGACCTGCGAAGAACAATGCTGCATCATATTTTTCTGTTTTTCCCTTTAACCACCGGATTGCAGGCTCTTTGAACGTCTGTCTAAAGGTTTCCTTCAAGAAGCAGTAATCATTAGAGAACTAACAGAGGGTTGGCTGTCAGTCAGGAGGCAGGTTTATCTGTTGCATCACAAGTCATTTGTGTTCACTCATGCCTGTGGTTTTGTCTGCCTTCTTCTCATCACCGAGTCTCTGTCCGTGGAGCCTTATCTGCTTGTTCTTATTTGCCTGCAGGATAAAGAAGAATATTTGAGATTACTTGAGTGAAGTCTGCTTCAGTGCTGATAGTTTAGCAAAGCAGTCAATTTTCATGACTTGAAAAAGTTAAACCCAGGACTTGGATGAACTTAAATATTCTCACAGATGGATCTTAAACACCAGCGAATTTAGTTTTTCAGCAAAGTAAACAATGGCAGATTTTATCACCTCTGCAGTGCGAGGCATATAGCCACAGGGGGGCTCCATTTCCAACCATTTAACTGTAATAACACTGACATTCACTAATATTTGGACTTCCATTGCTTCGATGTCACAGAGTGATGGAGAGATGGAGTCTGCATGTCTCTGAAGGAGTTTGTGGGAACAGGACGCAAAATGATTACAACATAGTCTGCATGTCTTTGAAGGACGTCATGAGAACAGGAAGAAAAATCATTACCATAGATGGAGTAGTCAGTCAGGGACGGAGAACATCGTCCTTCCTTCTCTTTGCTTTTCCTGTTTTGAATTCCAGGGCACTTCGTCAAAAGCTTATGTGACTTCCGCTTGATAAGAATCATTAGTCAGGAATGAGCTTGGACTCTAAGGCTGTGCTGTCTTGGATATTAATGAATATTAATGAAAAATTAATGAATATACATAAGTTGTTGGACAAAGACACACTTTCTTTTAGTTTTGCCTCTGTGTGGATAATAAAAGCTACACAAGACTTTTTCAAGATGAAGGACAATGTTGCAGCCCAAGAGTTGCTCAAGGCAACAACATTCTTCAATGCCCAAGTCAGTCACCTGATCTCAACCCAGCAGAGCATATGTTTCAGTTATTAAACACACAACTGAATGCATGAAGACTCACAACCAAGCAGCAGCTGAAGGTGGCTGCAGTAAAGGCCTAACTGAGGATCTCAAGGGAAATTCATGACATTCTAGACCACAGGTGTCGAACTCCAGGCCTCGAGGGCTGGTGTCCTGCAGATTTTAGATGTGTCCTTGATCCACCACAGCTGATTTAAATGGCTAAATTACCTCCTCAATATGTCTTGAAGTTCTCCAGAGGCCTGGTAATGAACTGATCACTTGATTCAGGTGTGTTGACCTAGGGTGATATCTAAACCCTGCAGGACACCGGCCCTCGAGGCCTGGAGTTCGACACCCCTGTTCTAGACAGTCATAGACTGCCTAAAGTCTAGTATTTAAGTTTTTTTTTTTAGATCCGTAATATATTGATTTTGGGAGGGTTACATAAATCTGAAGTCTGCACTTCAGTTGCACATTGACTGCTTGAGTTAAAATCCACTGAGGTTAAATCACAAAATTGTGTCTTTTGTCCTGCAAATTATCAAGCTAACTGTATGTTGTACATTAATGATGTTATCCTATAGTAGATGGATCCATAAAGCGCATGTGCTGATTGCATTAAACAGTTTCTTTTTGATCACATATGGTTTATTTCTAAATAATATGAGATTCGATTAAGAAAGACAGAAACTTCTCTTCGTGCATGGTGTATTTTCTGTTTTTATCTTTAGATTTTAGAGAAAAGCACAGCATCTACATACATTTTAAGATATTGTAAGAATTGTAAAACTGATGCATTGCATTCCAGTACCTGCCCTTTGTCACCATCAGTACCCTGTTAATCATTCATGGGTCTGCTCCATCAATCTGTATGCTTTGAGCAGTGGAGATTTGTCCGCAGTCTGATGTAAACTGTGCGCCTCAGCCATATGGGAACACTTACAAATACCGGCCCATGTAATCGTTTCCTTACATTCTTGCACGGAGGAAGAAAAACACATTATAGGGGTTTGTTTGATGCATGTCGATAGGCTGTTGCTCAACCTGTTGTTGGTGTTGAATGCAAGGCAGAAGAAGAATTTGATTTGCTTGTTCTGATAATCATTCAGCCACAATTAGGTCAGCATCAACCGGTTTACATAACCGGTTTTATGTGAGCACATAACAGCTCTTGATGATGTACAGTAGAGATCAGGTCCCTATAGCGCTATAAAATCTGCAGCAGTAGCAGCGCTGCACATGCACAATTATGTATCAGTATTTGGGTCGTCTAGATGGGTTCATAAGGTTTTTGCACTTACATAAGAATATTACTTTTTTATAGAAATTGTATTAACATCTACTATAATATGAATCATTTTTGGTCTCAGAATTATAAATTAAACACAAGTATAGGTTAGTACCCTCAATAATAAGATACACTTTCAGAGTAGTATCAGAAAGAAAAGAAAGCCCTGAAGGCATTTAAACGAGCTTCACATGGCCGTAAGGTAGACCAGAGAAAACCAGTCTATAGCTGGCAACTGTTCAACAATAGAGAAATGAAAGCACACCTTGGAGACACACCCAACCAGCAGCTTTCCCATATAGAATTAAAGGTGTCTCATTTACAAGTGGTGCTCAGTGTGGTCACATGGTCTCTACTTTCTGTAAAAGAAAGTCAACCCCACAAACCCACAGTTACAGAGATTCACTTCAGTGACATGTTTCAATGTTGTGTGCTGCTCACCTGAGTGAATGCACAGTAGAAAAAGCTGTCCTACTGGCTCTTCTTGATTCCTGCGGGGGCTCTGGCGGTGTGGCTCCGCGGGGAAATATAAGAGAGTAAAATGGCTCAAGGAAGTTGACTGTGGGAACTATACTCATGGTTTGAGAAGAAATACTATTTATATTCATGCAGGTAAGTGTTTTTTTACTCTCCTTTGGTGTGTGTTGCTTTTAATCCTCACCTTATTGCGTTCTTTTTCTCTTCAGCTTGAGTGTTTTCTTCCTCCCACACATTTCCTAACCTCTCTTAGTGCCTCCTTTGTTTTCTGTCACATGTGTTTCTGTCTTTCCTTCTGTTCTCGGAGCAGAGGGTCAGTGGGGGCTGGACATGTGTGCTTCTAATTATCCGTCTGATAAAACTGACCTTTTTCCTGTGAACTTTGGGGCAGAGGGGGAGGCAGTGATTTCAGAGGAAAGCAGTGGCTCCTCCTGTTTGCATCTCAAAGGACGTGCGAATGCAGACAGGGTGAGCATGCAACACATCAGATTCACACAAGGATTCTAGATGGAGCGAGCCTAACCGCAACTAAGAGAAGAACAGGAGGCCTAACAGATGAGTGCCTGATCTACAGCTGCTGACTTGCTATCATCTGAAATCAAAGATGGACCAAGATGGGAAGGCACCAAAGACTTTTGTGTCCACCTTACGATTTGCCCTCAAGCCTCAACCGAAGCATCAGAAAGAGAATGGACTGGGTAACATTAAGAGGAAGTTGGTGGGAAACAACAAACTGAGATTTTCATCTGCATCAGGTAAGGCCTTGAAAAAGATGTGAAATGTTAACTTTAGTGCATTTGAACTAAAAAATAGAACATGTCTCACCGGGTGCACCCCTTTTGTCTGTGTTTTAACTAAAACTGTCACAGAGCGCTGCAAAGGACAAGAAGAAGCTCTACTTTGTAAACTGTATAGACAGCCCGCCACCCCCTCCCCTCATCCCCCTAATGTACACAGTCTGATGGCAGTACTCCATCCACTGGCAGCCACCCATTTCCCACTCTGCTGGACATTCCAACACCAAAATAAACAACTGCAAACACACATTTTTAAAAAAAACACGACATCAAATTCCCCACCGCTCACAGCTGTAACTTGTGTTTATTACTCAAACAGCAGATGAACTGAGACTCAGTGGAAGATAGTGATCTTCAAATACATTTTTGGCAACACACACACACAAAACACGAGGCAGTGATTTAGGGTTTGATAAGATGCTCTGTTCTGATTGGGTCAGTGACAAGCAAAAATATGTGAAAACTAAACCCTTTGTCTTTCACCTTTTTCTTTGTAAAGATGCCAAACAGGCACAAGTTCAGAGTTTGGAAGCACCTCGCTTTGAAGAGCCACTCAGAGACTGTACTGTCTGTGCAGGAAGTGATGCTGCCTTTAAAGGTGTTATCACAGGGAGCCAACCGATGAGCATTTCCTGGCTATACAATGGTAAGTGACTGATTACATGTAGGAGATGTTGTACTTTATTCAAGTCCAGGTTATTGTAACTTTTACAGTAATCTACTATATAAATTACAGTTATTTACTGTAATCTGGAATGCAGGAATTTATTGTATTCTTATACAACTTTGGTACAAACACTGGAAACGCACAAAATACAGCATGATCAGCCTTTTGAATTGATTGCTGATTGATAATTATTGACAGAAATCCTTTATATACTGCTGTTCTGTGGAAAGTATTGAGACACCCCTCGAAATAGGTGCAGTGATTTAATGAAACATGCAAACATACAGTATACAGTATGTAAGGGGAAAGTTTTCACTTTTATTCTTTAACACAGCATTCTTGTTATAGCTTTAAGCAGTCTTCAGGAATAGTTCTCCGGGCTTCCTGAAGGACTTCTTTGGATGTTGGCTGCCTTTTGTTCTGTTCTCTGTTAAGATGATGCCACACTGCTACAATAATGTTGAGGTCCAGGCTCTGGGGAGACTGATAGACTGATGATCTATGATGAATAGTGTTCCATTGTGTGTTTTCTATTCAGATATGCTTTCACACAGCAAACCTTGGGGCCCTGTGTGGGCCATCATGGGCATGTTTGCCTGGCAGTGTGTTTGGGATCGTTGTCACGCCAAAAAATGAAGTTGTCACCAATCAGGTGCTTTCTAGATGATATTGCATGATGGATCAAAATCTGATGGTACATTTCTGCATACATTATTCCATCAATTTTGACAGGATTTTCACCACTGCTGGCTGAAATGCAGCTTAAAACCACAGCAGCGCCTCAACCATGCTGTAGACACTCACAGTTGTATCTCTCTTCTTATCTCCATACATACTGACCATGCTTTGAACCAAACATTTCAAATTTGGATTCATCACTAGATAAGATTTCTTGATTTTGTGTCCATTTCTTGTGTAATTTGTGTAACTTCACAATTTGGCTTCTTGACAGCCACACTTCCACTGAGACCATGTCTGATGAGACATTAGTGAACACTAGGTGGATCATTTGAAAGGCGAGATGCCCTCTTCGGTCCTGTGCCGGGGCTTTGCTGGATTTTTTTCCCCCGAGAACTTGATTTGTAACATCCTTTTCATATGAGATGGATAGTTGTGTAGAATTGCCATTTCTTCTTTTCTATTCTTTTGAAAATGGTCAGGTGCAAGGACTTGACTGACTCAGTTGTGCAATGAGTCTCATGTCAGAAAAGCAAGTAAAAGATTTGAAAGATCTTCAGGAAGCCTGGAGAACTATTGCACAAGATCACTCTAGAAAACAATTAAAAAAAAAGCCCAGCTTCTTGGAAGCAAAATATAAAGAAACGAGGGGTGGCTTGACACTTTTTCGCAGTACTGTATGACTCATGTAACAGCCGTGCATTTCACTAGAGTGGTTTGTCTAGAATTTCTGGTAAATCCCCCCAAAATCTAAGAAAACACCAGCAGACATAAAAAGTGAAAGTGATTTAGGCCCTGAAGAAGAGTCTACAGACTGGCTAGAAATATTAAGAAAGGAAAATACAACACTTATTTCAAATATCACCCAAAACAGAGAGGGATGGTCAGATAGAAGAACGACAGAGTTAGACAGTGGTACATAAACATGTGGGGAGTGAATTGTGTGGAGAAGAAAACCATCTCTTGGCATAAGTAAAGGGTAATTTGGAGTCACCTGATCCAGCTCTAACTGTAAGTTTTATCAACACGGAAAGTTTTGTGTCTAATCTTAAAAGTAGAGTGGGAGTTTGTCTCCTAAATGTGTCTCTGGCTCCCATTCTACTTTTGGAAACTCTAAGACCCACATGGAAGCCAGTAGTCTGAAAGCAGAGAGGTCTGTTTGAGATAACATGATACTATGAGGTCTGTTAACTAAAGCAATTATATAATAATTAGTTCAAGCATTTCAGTACAACTGTAATAAAACCATACTTGTTCATGTTTAGGTGAGAAACTGCGTTCGAGTAACATTTCCTTCGAAAACGGTGCTGCATGTCTGAGCCTGACCCGGTGCTCACCTAAAAATGCCGGGAGGTACACCTGCATAGCTGAGAATCCTGCAGGACAACAGTCGAGCGCTGCTCTGTTACATGTCAAAGGTAACATCAAGTCCAGAAAAGCCACTAATAATCAGCACAGCAGCATAGAAATGATCTGTTTACAGTGAGCCTGATTCACTCTGTTAACAATGAAACAGCAACAAAGGAAATTCCCGGAACAATCAACCGTGAGCTGCGCAGTGAGGTCACATTCAAGGCTGTGTCACATGAAAACGCTGAATTGTTCCCAGTTTCGGCAGGGGCAAGGCAAAGCAGAGAAGAAAGGGACAATGGTAGGCTCAATGATGACCACTTGTTTAACTTCCTTAAAATCTTTTTAATGTTACACACGCATTAAAATCCCCAATTGTTCTGCTTTTATTCCTGCCATGAATGCTATTAATCCTGTGAAAATAATGCAAATTTATAGCAAATATGCTCATGATAATAGAGGGCAGGGAAGAGGAAACATGCATGCCGACAAAACAAACAAAATGTTGTGTGTTTGGTTTTTAAATTTCAGTTTTAAGCAGGCTGTAAGTAAGAACTTTTGCAGTCTATCCCATTTCTGGCATGTGCTTATTTACAACTATACAAAAAATCTTGTTTGCCAGTTCAACCAAACTTGACTGCTTCACTGCCATTGGTTAGTTCCTTTTTAAATTCTCACATGATAGCACACCTGTGAATCCAATCTACTTCCTCAATCTCCACAGATTTTAGAGAAACCAGTCTTCAAAACCAGGTACCAACCAGTAAAGGTAGGAACCACATTATGTATTGAACAGCACTTAGCTCAGGCTTTATTTTTTTTTTCTTTCTTGGACACAAACTAGCTCTGCTTTTCTTCAGGACCTCCTGTGGAGTTTGTAGACCCACCAGAGCAGGTGGAGGTTCGAGTAGCTGAGCAGGCCCTACTGCGCTGTGAGTTCAAGTCCAGCTCTCTCCCTGTAGCTTCCTGCTGGATTTACAACAGGGATAAGGTAAGAATGTTAGACTGGTTGGGCTTTTTTTTAACATTTTATCCATAATTTTACCTTTGTCTTAACTTACACTTCTGCCCATCTCTGACTCCAGGCTATATTCGGAGGACAGCGGATGTCAATCAGGACCACGCCAAATCATAGCAGTGTGCAGATCTTTCATGCTGATCCAAAGGACGCAGGCTCCTACACAGTCATTGTACGCAACAGAGCAGGCTCTGCTCAGCACACCATCTCCCTCAGTGTTGTAGGTGAGATAAATTCCTGACACGAATGCCCACAGAGAGACTTTGGATATTGGCAATTTCTCGAAAATGTTAAATTTCTCCTCAGACCGACCCAATCCGCCAGCATCCCAGCCTGTTGTTTCCCAGCTATCCACTCAGTCCCTGGTTCTGTCCTGGTCTGGCCCCAACTACGACGGCGGCACGACAATTTTGGGGTACATCTTGGAGGTCTGTAAGGAGAGCTCGGACAAATCTGAGAGCTGGACTGAATTAAGTCGTTGTAAGAACACATCCTACCACGTCCAGTCAGGACTGGAGCCTCTGGGACGTTACCGCTTCCGAATCAGGGCTTATAACTCTGCAGGAATCAGTGAACCGAGTCAGGAGTCTGGTTGTGTCAAGATGGCAACTGCCAGTGAGTACAATATCTGCATGATTTTTAGCAAAATTTGATTTTGTTTTTATTTACCAAGTAGTATTTTGGTGGTACCGGTTGCGAGATGTCTTTTTTGTCATTTCTTTTATTTGTGTTAAAAGAGCAAAGGAAAGCGGAGCCTGAGTCATACGTCATCGTGACCCCTGACACCCAAAATAAAGTCAGGGACCACTACAA